TGGACAGCGCATCCACTCAGCCTCTCCCTTTCTCTCTAGATAATTTATATCCTGGGCTTGAAATCACCTCCCTGCACAGTCAGACAGTCCACCTGAACCAGCTCTTGTCCAGCTTTCCTTTACCTATTGCTCACAACAGCGTTCCATCCTCCACAGAAAGAGACTCAAGATGCTTAGCAAATCCTTCAAGGTACAGGAGCCCAGAGTCATGCTGAGTCTACGATGTGCTCCTTTGTCTTTTCAGGTTCTGAAGACGCTCTTGGCACTCAGGTGCCTCACATCCTGGGACCTTCTGCTCACCGTCTTATGAATGAGACCTCACCCACAATGCTCTGCTCCGTCCCCACAGAAACAGTTGTTCTCCTCCAGGTCCCATGTAGAAAGCCAACCCTTGACCCAACTCCTGACATGACTAGCTACTCATTTAACTGATTCCTCAAGCCTATGAACTCCCGAGGACAGGGACTGGGACCATATTTCTCTCAGATCTCTTAGATCCAGCCTAGGTTATCATACAGAAGGTACCCGTTTCTGATTAGTTGAATAAATAAAGGGAAAATATGTAAGCTTTACTCAGTGAGGCCCGCCTCTCCCATGAAGGCACAGACTACTTCCTAAATTGCAATAAAGTAAGAATCAAGATGAAGTGTTTCTTTCAGCTAAAAACAGTACAGTTTTATGAATTGGGAGAGGGAACAATGGAGAGGCCTGGATCACAGTGTTTAGAAGGCTGTCAGATCCACGTTAACTTTAAAAATGGGAAAATTGGAAAAGTGTTTGCTTTCAGAAACACATTGTAAGATGTGTGTGCAATGGTTCAGTCATTGTGGGAGTGTGTTAAAGGGCCAGGGGCTGCTGGCAGCTTTCCAGGGGCTGCTGGCCTGTACACTTGTTCTGAAAATATTGTAAAAGTCTTGAAATTGAAACTGAGGATGACAGGTGACCCATGACTTGTCTGAGATCCTGTTTGACCGGTTCTGCCAAAGCCCTGCCTCAGAGCTGAACTTTTAATCTGAACCCGGGGCTTCTCATTAGGCAACCTCCTCCTCCTCCTCCTCCTCCTCCTCCTCCTCCTCCTCCTCCTTCTCTTTCTCTCCCCACTCCTCCTCCCTCTCCCCCTTCTCCTTCCCACACTCCTCCTCCCTCTCACTTCTCCTCCTCCCTTTCCCCTTCTCCCTTTCCCTCTCCCCCTCCTCCTCCTTCATTCCCCTCCCCCCTCCTCCTCTCTCCCCTTAATCCCCCTCCCACTTCCCCTCCAGGTCACCATCTTTCCCTGTGCTGACAACTATAGCAGCTCCAGATTCCTGGTACTTCCCCATTTCTGTAAATTTAATCAACAAACACATCAGCAGAGAAGAAGGAATTACAACAGATTGGGGGGACTCTGCCAGGGTTGATGGAACATACAATCAGATTTGCTTCTTCACTGAGGGCTTGCAAAGAAACCTTGAAATGAAACCCGCTCCTTCATACTCAAACTGAATGCAAAGAAATCACCATTTGAATTTCTGAAATGCTTCCAAGTATATTTGTTTTCGACCCAGAAACACCCCCCCAAAGGCTCAGGCAACCTGAAAGATGAAGTGTACTCAGTCCCCAGCACTAAAGAGGTCATCGTGAAGATAGACGCAGGTAATACGGACATATCCCTAAAGAATACCTTAACAACAACCTTAAAATAGTTTCAGTGGCAGGAAGCAAATGCAGATCTTAATAAGTCAAGGGCCCTGAGAGCCATATGCATGCTCAAATCCCATGACCCTGAGAAACTAGGGTCAGGGTCAACAGTGAAGAGTAGCTGAAGGACTCTCTTAAGGACATTATCCAACCTTAGCCCAGGTGGAGCAGCCCAATCCTAGGGCTGGAACAGATAGATGACTCATGAACTGTTTACCTGGAAGCTCAGGAAAACCTTTCAACACCCCTCCCCCTCGCGCCCCCCCCCGTGACACTGAGCCAGTCTCTTCATCCTGCAATTATTTTCTGTATCCACAAAACACCTACTCCTCTGGAACTAGATTCACTTTCTCTTTCCTTTCCTTTCTTCCGCAAAAGCTCATCCATGAAGCCTGGCAAATGGCATAAATCTATCACAACTGTTCAGGGTCATGATGGGGCAAGATGAGAGGCCCTGATTGGTCCTTGGACCTCTAGGTTCCCACAGGGTAAAGGAACTCCCTGAAATAGCTGCTGGTTAAGTGTCTTCCAGCTCAGATACTGTGAGTCTATGATTCCAGTTGTCAGTATGTGCTGATTCTGGGCAAAACTGTGCACTGTTGATACCCACACTATCAGACAAACAGGAGTCACAGTTTGGAGCGGAGGCAATAGACCAGTTCTGAGTTATGAGACTATCTTCTATGGAGTATGTTCACATGCCAGTGAGAGTTGCTTCAAAATTAGAAGCATTGTAACAAATGCGAGGATTCCTCGGGAGAAGCCCATGATGAATGTCCCCTTTGTTACCTTCCCCTGACTGGGGATTTCTGATAGCAGAAGCCATGATTTTGTAGTCTCTGATGTTGAAGGACCAGAATCCTACCTCATCTGAAGCTATGTGACACTATCTGCTAATGTAGATGCTGTATCAAGTTCTGAGTGGATCCCTCAGAACACCCTGATGGTATAGACCTCCCAACCTCTGCACCTAGCCATCAGGGCAGTCATAGATCCTCAGTCTCATGGAGGGACCAAGCAAAACCCATATTCTTCCCTACAATCATACCTGCAAGATGTGGGAAACAGAGAGGGTTCCACGCTAGAATGAAAAAATAAGCTGGAAAATTAATCACAGGATAGCTGAGGGTCTGTCAACACAGCCTTAAGTATAAAGCGTCTCCAGGGTTTGGAGCAGAAAACGTCACTTTTGAAAATTATACCTATCTTCTTGATTCAGCACGCTCTCTGAATTACTAGTGAAACTGATATTATGTGACAACTGACTATAGAATTTTGAGATGTTTTGTTTAAAAACTCCTATCTTGCTTCACCTGCAGAATGGCATGAGTACACAATGCTATATCCATTTCTTTGAAGCCACACAGTCATAAAGACAGGTGGTGTTGTCACCCAGAGAGTGGAGTCTCCATGTCAACTTCCACCTGATGGGATTGCGATTCCCATAATGAGTAAGAACAATGAAGACTGGGTTTCCCTTCTACTCCACGGAAATGCCCTGCTCTCCAACCCTCAAATTGACTGAAGGGGCATCCCTAGAAACTAGGCAGGAGTGACCCTACTTACAGAGCAAGTACAAGCCAAGCTTTGGACTCTTGACCTCCTGGTGCTTTTATTTCCTTCAGGAAGACACCATTAGAGTACCCACCCAGCTGTATCCTCAGTCATCTTCATGCGTGTATACCCTGAGCAAAACTTCCAAAGGAAACTCTTCTCTCACCATACTCCAAGATGCTGAAGGCTTCCTGCCTCACACAGGAATCAAGTAAATGTACCTGTGTATGTGACTGTGACTTGGATCCTGTTACAACACGTACTTAGTAATTCTTACGTTATACCCAGCATCTTACATTCTTTAAGCATCTTTTCAGAAAACTGATGGAAGTCACAAACAGCCCTCCAAGCTGTTGAATAAACACCCCACGGCCCTGCTTTCCCAGAATCTCTTGTAAATGACCTTATGGCTGAGGCTGTAGCAGCCAGGGAAGTATCCAGACTTAGAGCATGGCTACAGAGAGAGAAGGGATGAGGTTGGGATTGGGAGAGAAACAAATCTCTCCACTTAAATCTTTCTCATTCTGTCTCTCTGTGTGTTTCTCTCTGTGTATTTCTCTTTCCCTTTCCTCTGGCTTTTCCCTTTCTGGATGCAGATTTGTGTCTTTCTCTGTCTATGCCGTTTTCAATCTCTCTTCATCTCTGGTGCTCTTCTAGTTCCTTTGTCTCTGCCATCTGTCTCTATCTCTGTCTACCACAGATATATATATACATATATATATGGATATATATGGAGAGATAATGGATGGTTGTATGCATATGCATGCTTATGTGTATGTGTTTCTGTGTGTGTGCTTGTGTGTGTGTGCTCATATGTGTGTATGCTCATACGTGTGTATGCTTGTGTGTATGTGTGTGTTTGTATGTATGTGCATGTTTCTGCGGTGTTTGTGTGTGGTTGAATGTGGCTATTTGTGTGCTTGTATCCAGAAAGTACATGTCTTAGTATAGAAAGCTGTTCTGGTGGTGATGGCTGTTGTTTCTGTAGACTCTGTGCTGGTGTCTCCTGCGAGGTGGCTACAGCCTAGGATCCTCATGAGGTCAAGTGGCACAGACTGGACCTTGTTCCTTGCAGCTCAGTCACAGCCGGGTCGTCCAGCCCCAACAATGGCTCTATGAGCTTTTCAGTGTCCCTTTAAGAAACTCTGTACTTATAAATAAGATCCTTTATAAGGTTCTAGGAAATCTACTCATAGATTCACAATGGGAACTCTATACCAAATAAGATATTTTTAAATGGTACAGTAACTGAATACTTAGAGCCCAGCTAAGGCCATACACCAGGTGGACAGCTGCACTTCCCAGGACTTAGCTCAGATGCTGTCTAGGAAGCCAGAGTTGGAAAACCCCAGGAAGGGATGCGCAATTAGAAACACTAGCCACCCTCAGGGAGGAGGGTCTAAATTCAGAGAGATGAGAAAGTAACCACCACTGCTGCTTCCTTCACTGCAGTCAGTTCGCCATGGAGCCAGAAGATAATCCCCCAGCACTGTAAAGGGAAACAGCTAAACACAAGGGAACCCCAGCAGCCCGGAGCCAGAGTCAGTTTGGGTTGCTGGGTGCCTCCTAGGCTCTCTGAACCCACCTAACCCAGGAAGTCCTGGCAGGGGCTGCCTTGCCGGGAGTCCTTAGAATCCCAACTTGAGAATCCGGCTTGACAAGAGATGCCTATTTCCATTATACAGGCTGAAAAATAAAATCCAGCTCGAGCTGGTGAGAGGCAGTATGCCCACAGGACTTGGACTCCTCTCAGGGCGAATATCATGAGGTGTCGTTAGAACTTCACTGTGGTTTGCAACGCCTCCCTTTAGCTCATTTATGAGGTTATGCAACCAGTGTTCCTATAAAAAAAAAAAACAAGCTCATTCAGGCTTCCGGAAGCATCTGTCAGCTCAGCTACCTGGGATCTTTCGTCCTCTCTGCACTCTGGACACTGGCTGCCACCGCCATGAAAACTCATTACTTTCTCCTGGTGATATTTTTTCTCTTCTCCCAGATGGGGCCAGGTAAGCTTTGGGAACTTGTTGATGGCCCTGACTGGGACTGGGGACACAGAGGCTAAGGGGGAACAGGTAATAGCCACCTCCTAGTTTTGCAAGCCTAGTGCTAGGGCAGCATCCTGAGTGGCCTGTGGTCAACAGCCCTGGGAAGCAGCAGCAAAATGATCCTGGTAGGGATTGACAGTGAGTGGTGGGTTTCTCCAAGCCATGATGCTTGTCCCTAGCAGCTGCGATAGGTCTTGTGTGGGAGTCTGCTTTGCCTGTGTGAGATTCTTCACACTGAGAGACAAGCTTTTTGACACACTGGCCTCAACTGAGTCCCTGGGTGGAGCATCCCTGAGCTGCAGGCAAAGGGCCACTGCCCCTTCGCCAGGCCAGCTCAGCCAGTTGTAAATGCCTGGAAACAACGTGGTAAGCAGTCAAGAGATAGTAGGTGACCTTTCACCTTCCCTGGTAGTCACATTCTTCTGGCAAGGAGATTTTACCAGTCAAAAGAAAGGACTTCACATCTGTCCAAAGGATGCCCACTCTGTCTGGGCCAAAGTAGCCTGTCCCTGACATGGGAGACAGGAGGCCTCTGAATTAGTGATACAGGACATACTTTCTCCAAAGCCATATATCAGGGTGACATTGACAAAGTTGTGTATTTCTGAGCTTTATTTCAATACTTGTATCAGGAGGGTTCTGATGTTTGTTGTGAGGTCCTCTGGAAAAGCCTGCTTTGTTTGGCTCCTGGCTATCATGCTAGCCTCTGGAGATGTGTCTTTCAAAATAGCTATGCCTGGTTTTCTCATGTGAAATCCGGATCCAGGCACATTCTCAACACACTGCTTTTCATGGCAAGGTAATGGCCCATCTGAGAAATAAAGAAATGTATTTAATAAGTTACACATTTTTAGGGCCTAGAAAATGCCAACACGTGCCAACTGCAAAGCCAATGCTATTTGATACACCTGACTCGGCATGCATTGGGGGTGCGGTGGGAATGTTTTCACTGAGTAAGAAATAGAAATTTCCTTCTTATGGCCCAAATTCAAGAAAACTTACAAGCATTTTTTTTCAGAATGAAGACTTATTGTTGTCTAGTATTCAAAATGTAATGCTAAGCAACTCATTCAAATCATAGAAACAGGACCACTTCTCAAGGTGGATAGGCTCAGCCATATTTCCTGATCCTCCATTATAAGAATGGATCTGGGCATACTTACCAGGATTGCTGGAAACTCCTAGGTAGATCCATTCTACTGCACTCTTTTAGGATACAAATATCCTCTCTGTATAATCTTCCAGTATAAGAATTCTCCAACCACTTCTCTGGAAATAACAAAGAGCAGAATCTATCTCACCCCCAAAGCCCATATGATGATGTTCAGATCATCCCAAGGGCTAAGGAGGACCACTAAGGAGCATCTGCTGTACTGCAAGGTTCTATTTGACCAAAGGAAGAATGATGTTTAGTAAAAGTGTTTTCCTCTGGGATTGATTTCTGGTCTGGCTGTATATGGGGAGGAATAACAAAACTTCCCAGGTATCTTTGTGTTAATATGCAGGCCCCTGTGTCTCCAGAACCAGGCTGCAGGTGGGTCTTGCATGTGCTTGGCTTAGGTTTTGGGGTATGAATTTTGAGAGCTCTTGTTTGGCTTTGCTTGGCTGTAGTCATAGATCTCATAGATCGTAGGTAAAAAAAATCACGTAGGTTTGTAACACACCAAATGCTGTTTGGGGGAATGCATACACTATGAAACACTTATATCCAGCTTGATACTGTACCCATCACCTTGTGCATTCGTTGTCATTGTCAATGTCATTGCTTTGTTCCTTCCGTCTATACTGTCTCTAGACCTGCACTGCCTGTGGAGCTCAGTTTAGTGTGGAAGGTGCTAGGTTCTGTTTCTGGAAGGTTGGATGGCCCTGGCCTGCTTTCGTGTCCCATCTGAGCCCTCACAGGTATCATCCCTGCCACTCATTTCTGGCAGACTCCTTATACCTTCCCTTATCAGGCTGGTCCACAGGATCCCACATGACAGGACCCTCAAGCTGGCCAGCTTGTTTTCCTGGGAGATAAAGAAATGGGCTCCCACAACCCCCCTGTAAAGTCTGTGAAAACAGAATGAGGTCAACATAGCAAGACCTCAGCCTCAGTCTTTGGAAAGGAAGGGTGATTGAGGCTGCCACTGAGAGAATGCTTAGTGAGAAACAAGCATGTACAGATTATTACCAGGGAGAGGAAGGATAGCCAGGGAGAGAGAGGTCTCTGACTGCCTGTAAGCCTTAAACTTTAGAAGAAAACATAGCACAAAAAGCTGACTGTGCACGTGGGTAACTCTGTCTGCCCTGAGAAATGCTGCTGATTTCAGCTACCAAGAGACCTCGTAAGAAAAAAATTAACCTCTTCTGAGACATCAAGAAAGATTTCCTTAAAGAGGTTGAGACAGAAGGAGAAACATGTCACTTGGTGGAAATGTTTAAAAACATTACTTCTTTCTCAACAGTTAAATATGCCACATAAAATTTAGACTCCTGCCAGGCATTGGTGGCACAAGTCTTTAATCACAGCACTCGAGAGGCAGAGGCAGGTGGATCTCTGGGAGTTTGAGGCCAGCAAGTTCCAGGACAGGCTCCAAAGCTACAGAGAAACATTGTCTCAGTGTGGAGGGGGGAATAAACTCCGATCATCCAAAAATAGGGGTTGGAGAGATGGCCCAGCAGTTAAGAGCACTGACCGCCCTTTCAAAGGACCTGGGTTCAATTCCCAGCACCCACATGACAGCTCACAACTGTCTGTAACTCCAGTTCCTGGTGATCTGACACTCTCATACAAACATACATGCAGGCAAAACCCCAAAGTACGTTAAATAAATAAATCATTTTGAAAAAATTTAGACTTGGGTCTTGTTACAAACACAGAAGATGTGGCTATATTCTCTTTACCACAGAGGAATGTGATTGATTAGGGACTGTTACTCTACCCAGAGGTCCCTTACCCCAAGTCTCTGCAGACATTATCACAATCTATCACTTTCCTTCAAACCATTGGACACAGGATTTTGAGGCTCCTGGCTGCAGAGGACATTGTATGTGACAGGCAAAGGGATAGATGGCATGTGTAAAAATATGGAGAGTCGTTGGTGGTGCACGCCTTTAATCCCAGCACTCTGGAGGCAGAGGCAGGCAGATCTCTGTGAGTTCGAGGCCAGCCTGATCTATAGAGTGAGTGCCAGGACAGCCTCCAAAACATTAGAGAGAAACCCTGTCTCGAACAGCCAAAAAATAAAATAAAAAATAAATCAATAGCACATTTACATTGAGTCCCTATAATATTCCCAAGAGGAACATAGAATCAAAATCTACATTTTATGGGTAGACAAAAGTAGGTCAGGGGTTCATTCCCAGACCTCAGATCTATGACTTTATGGGGACTCTCAAGGTTTGGCAGTATATCAGGACTATGTAAAGAAACATTGAGAGATGGGGTAGTGTAGGAGTAAACCCCACAAAGCTATCCGCCCATGAGGGCAGGGACATGTAAACTGACACAGGTAGATATAAAAGGAAGTGAAAGGAAAAGGAACCCCCCTTTTCTCCTGGAAGCCAGCTACGTTTCTAACTCCTGGTTTGTGCGACTCTCTTTCTCTCTCTCTGGTAAATAAATATATTGTTTTCCATATAGCATCGAATATCATTGATAGGGTAGAAATCCTATGAGCAAATCCAGATATGGTCAAGACCAGATCGAGATGTTTTATGAGACAGAACATATCTGGTATGTGTTGGGACAGGGACAAAATGGAAAATGGCTATCTGAGACACTGACTTGTCTAGAGAGTGACTACAGACCAATCCCATGTGGCTGACACAGTCACTAGGAACTCCCCCCATCAAAGCCATAGCTCCTCCTAGTGTACCTGGGACAATTAATGAAAAATCGGAGAATTAATTCAGCTTACCAATGCAGGCATTCATAGCTGCACAAGCTCCTCTTTCCTTCCCCCAAAACTCTAGATACAACCCTGCTATGTTGGGCCAATTCCTTGTATGAAAATAGGAAAATGATGTGTACCCCAGTTACCATCCTTTCCTCTCAAGGGTCTCATCCAGAAGTCTCTACTCTGATCTGATTGTCCTAATTCGTTCTGCCTCTTCTATTTCCCACAAAAGCTTTCAGTAACAGAAATCCACCTGCTATGGTCTCCATATTCCATCTAGAAACCACACATCCCTTTAGCTCAAAAACCCAGCCATGCAACCTCCACATGTGGTTACAGAGGGCCCCTAGTTAGCAGGATGTGGGATTCAACAGACATACTCCAAAGCAGTAACAAAACAATGTCATAGGTTTATCTTTACAGCTATAGGGACAGCTTTGCAAGTGTCATGAGAGTCCAAGGATGTCCTCTACATGGAGATTATGCTAGGCCTGCTCTACAGATCTTTCTGTGACTCAGACAGGTTGATGACAAGGACACACAGCCACTCAGATCCCCAGCCCTGTATTCTTCCACTCACTTCCCAAGATCCCTGAAGAGATCAGGTGTCACACACCCCCTCTCAAGGAGAGCCTAGATGGGCAGTGTGTTCATGCTCCATGAAGTTGGAGAGAGGTGCTGCTGAGGACTGGAGCAGGCCTCAGTTTCCCGCTGCACAGGGCTATTGGGAGCTACTCGAATTCAGAAGAGAGAGTGATTTATGTCTCAGTTGGTTTGCACTTCTGTTGCTTTTTCTGGGAGTGGCGAACGTAATTGATTTCCCTCCTTTCCTCGTGCCTCTACTCGTGCCTCCACAAACACCCCACCTCCAAGTCAACATCAACTTTCATTTTAACACCTCTAGCTGGAGGAACCTGCTTCTTCCTGGGCCCCTCCCTCAGCATGCTGACAGTAAATTTTGTTGCCCTGACCTGGAGTAAGACTTTCTCTTCGCCCAAGAGCAAGATAGCAAGGCCTCTGACAGGCTACTTTCTCGCCTGAGCTTTTTTCTCTGCTCACAGTCAGGCCCTCAGTGTGGGT